GGGTAAAAAGGCTTTAGCACCCTCAGCCCCCCCACACACACACCCTCTGTGACTTTAACAGAAAGACTTATTTATTTATTTTTATGTATTTGATACAGCATCTCACTATGCAGATCCAACTCGTAGTGATCCTCCTGTTTTCAGCCTCCCCAGGGCTGGGATTACAGGTGTGCACCACCATGCCCAGACTCAGTGGCCAATTCAGTGTGCCCAGGGGGCAGGGCTGGCATGCATGTGGTGCTGGGGATTGAACCCCAGTCCCTGTGCTTGCCTAAGCAGGTACTTAGTCTGCTGAGCTATCTTTCCAGCCCAAGATTTCTTTTAAATTAGCAATAAAATATGCAAATCTTCATAGCCCATTTTTGCCTACACACACACCTGTACCACCACCATCCAGACTGAAGTATCCGTCACCCTGGAGAGGTCCCACATGCTCCTGACCAGTCCATACTTTTGCCCCTGGTGTTTGGGGTGGACAGCCCCGTGCCAGGGCACATGCTGAGCATGTGAAAGGCCCTGATGCCATCCTCAGTACTGGAAAACAAAACAAAACTCCACAGCTGCCTCCCCTAAAGGCTCCCACTGCCGACTCCTGTCACCTAGCACTGGTTTTGTATCTAGGTTTGCTGTAAATGGAATCACAGAGAACGCACTTCTCGTACATGTGCCTGGCTTCTGCTGCTCAGCGTAATGGGCCTGCCAGTCATCCACACTGTCTGGGCCCACCACAATTTGCTTATCCGAAGCACATCCTGTCCCATTGTTTCCAGGGTGTGGCCACAATGAGCGAAGCTGTCGCTGTGCCTTTTAACAGTTTGGGGTGGGAGGGCAAAGAGGAGTTGGGGGGACGAGTACCCAGCACAGCACTGAAGCATGATGAATCTGTTGAGCACCTTGATGGTGACGGCACCTTCTACATCAAAACCTCAAACTGTACACCTTAGATGTGTGCACAATGGCTTGTTAGTCATGGGCCTTGCTGGGCTGTGCAGGCTGGCTTCAAACTGCTCGGCTCAGAGATCCTCCTGCTTCAGCCCCCTAAGTACCTGGGCTTGCAGCTGCGCCCGGATAATGCAGATTTCTCATATCTCAATTATACCTTGATAAATCTGTCAAACTTATCATCAGTGGCTGCTGTGGTTCGGGGTTCTTGCAAAGCAAACAATATAATACAGGTCACATTTTATGATAGTATTTTATAATGAATCACCCAAGAATCATATGTAAGAGGAAATCTGTCAAAACACAAACACTGAAGACTCCAGCTGAGAGCCTAGATCCTAATATCCTGCATGAGTCCAGCTGAAAACCTAGAGCTCATAACAATGCCTGCTGCAAGTCCAACTGGTGGCCCAGAGTACACAGCACGTCTTATGCCGGTCCGCTTCACAGATGTGTGCTGGAAAGGCCCGAAGGTCAGTGGTGGACGCTGGGAAGTCTGTGCCAGCGGGATGAAGATCTGTGCTAGCAGGCTGAGGGATCTGCACTGGAGCCAGGAAGCAACGCTCAAGGTAAGCACCGGGGCGCCCCCAAAGGTACCACAGCCACGCTCAGCAACAGGGAGATCCTGAGCTCCTCCAGGGATGAGGAAAGCCGAGTCCCCATCAGGGAAGCCAATGTGACAAGCTTCATGAGGCTGAGCAGTGCACCATCTTCCCTCTGGAGCCAGGAACTGATGCAAAATGAGGACCAGAGCACCACCAAAGTCCATCAGGAATGCCAGCACGACAAGGTCCTCCAGCAGAACAGCCCAAGAGAACGAGCAGCTGCTCCAAACAGAACCCCTCAGTGTTCCAGAGCTTCTCCTGTCCTGCCTTTATGCCACTGGCAACAGCCCTCAGGTGGGCCTCCCACACCCAGCACCACGCTGCTGGTTTAATTCAGCTGGGTGTAAGCAGTTGCCCACCAGTGAGCTATCTACCACAGTAGCCTATAGGTATTGCTTTGGTCACCAGTTCTTTATTCATGCCAAAGCTTCGTGGGAAGCTCGATATGTACCAGAGATAAAGCCAGGGCTGCTCCTGTTAAGGGGATCTTTCTGGGCCCCACCCGCTCAGTACCTCATCCCTCACCATGCCCCAATGCCTCTCTCTAGGGTCTCACAGAAAGCCAGTTTTTAAAGTGCTGACTCAGAGGTCTCCAATGACCCCACCACCTCTGAGTGTCCGTGACACAAGACCCTCAGACCAGTCCCTGTCCTCAGCAGCATGGAGCCTACAAACTATTATCTTCTGTTCCACAGCCCATGGGACAAGCACTGAGTCACCTCTGGCATCCCAGCCAGTGATCGCCTCTCTGGTGACGTGTAGCATGGCTCCCTGGGGACACTCATTGCACTGTTCTAGGCATCTTCACTTGTCACTCCCTGGCTGCTCCCAACTGCCTCACTCGCTGCATTGTCAACTCCCTGGAACAGGACAACACCCCAGAGCCTGGCTCCCTGTGCTCAGCACCACACCTGGCCCAGGGTGCACACTCACTACCTGTTGACTGAATTAAGTCTCAGCTCTGCCCCTCCCGGAGAGTCCTGACAGGGCCCAGAGCCTTTCCATAGCCTGAGACTCCCTAAGGACATCAGCCAGTCATCTAGACCTCGACCACTTCTCCAGTGTCCTCTCTCTTCATCTTTAGCCTCCTTGCTGGGGTGCAGAAGTGCCCCCACCCCCATCACTGTACCTGTACTTCCTTCCATCTGAAGCCTCTGTTCCACCATGGACTCAGGCATCTGCTCAAACAGCGCCTTCCTAGGGAGGCCCCTGACTGGAAGCAGCTCCTGTCCACGCTGCAGGCCCCCATCCTACCCCACTCCTTTTCATGATAACTCAGCGGCACTAACTCCTAGGGAGTGCCCTCCGTGCCCCATGCCACAAGGAATCAAAGCCCCATCTGTGCTGGGGTAGAGGCTCCACGAAACCATTTACTCCCTGCTCTTTCTTTCTTTTTTTTTTGTGGAACCAGGGATTGAATTCAGATCCTTGCGTTTGCCAGTCAAGCGCTTATCCTACTGAGCCATCTCGAGCCATCTCCCCGGCCCCTCCCTGCTCTTTCTGAGCAAGACAGTTCAGCCTGCTGTTGGAAGGACTTAGGGTACACAGGGAGTATGACTTTGCTCCCCCATATGTGACAACAATGAGCGCACCAACCACAGTGCCCCCCAACAGGGTTGATCGATGATTCCTGGTTCCTCTGTATTGGGGAGGGGGGTGGCATTGGGTCTGGAATGGAATAATAAATGACTGCTGAGAACAGATGCAAATCAATCCTTGCATTCAACAAATACTTAGTGAGCAACACAGGTGCCAGGCACTTCAGGGAGTTCTGGACATACAAGTGACCACGGCGCTGACCAGGCATCTTCTACTCCAGTTGAGGGACAACGGCTGAACAAGTGATTCTACGTGAGGAGAAGCAGCACGCTACAGTCCCTGCAGCTCTGCTTGTCTCCTGCTCGGCAGGCTAAGGAAGCAAGATCTTGGCGGCTCCTCATCCAGGCTATTTCTTGGGCTTATGTGTGCAAATAGGGACTTTAAGGGATGAGACCGTGTCCTGATCCCGGGACAAAACACAGGCATGCTCACCATTCACCATCATGTTGGACACTCACTAGCTACACCGGCGTCCCCAGTGAGGGGCAAGTGTATTATTAGTTTATAAGAAGGAGGCAATTTCAGGTGTGGGTTGTTCTTGACCATGACTCATGAAGATTAGCGTGATGGGGAAAATAGAGCAGAAACAGCGCGGCAGGGGCCTGAGGGTAGAGGCACAGCTCCAAGGTAGACTGCTTGCCTAACACCTAAAGAGGCCCTAAATTCAACCCCTGCATAGCAAAAAAGAAATAAGAGAAAGTGTGGGTGGGGGAGCTTGTTATTTGAAATAGGGCACAGACTAGTGACACCCAGGCCTATGCTGTCCCCTGGTCAGTACACTGAGAAGGGGTCATTGGTGGGTTGGATCAGAAAAGAGGTCTATTCTAATTTCCACTTGTAAAGGATTCTAGCCAGGCATAGTGGTGGCGCACGCTTGTAATCCCAGCACTCCAGAGGCTGAGGCAGGAGGATTGCTGTGAACTCAAGGCCAGTCTAGGCTATACAGAGAGACCCTGCCTCAATAAATAAATGCATAGATTTTTTTAAATTTTATTTATTTATGTGTGTGTGTGTGTGTGTGTGTGTGTGGCCAGCTCAGCCCACCAGGGGGCGGGGCTGGCTGGCATGGGGTGCTGGGGGATTGAACCGCGGTCCCTGTGCTTTGCTAAGCTTGTTCTAAGTAGGTGCTTTAGACCACTGAGCCATCTCACCAGCCCCTGCATAGATATTAAAAGATCGTGACTGCTATGTGGAGACTAGTTGGCAGCCCTGCAGGCCTGCATGACAACAGAAAATCAGTGAGGTTTTACAATAGGCCAGATGAAAGAGACAGTAGTTTACCCCTGGTCGTGCCGGCAATGGAAGGGGAAGGAAGTGGACGTACTGTTGGAATAGAGCCCAGTGAAGTAGCACACAGCCAGTATTCCATGTTCAGGAGGTCGGGGCAGAGTTACTACAAATTCATGGCCACCCTGAGCAACTTAGTGAGAATCTGTCTGGAAGAAAAACTAAAAAGGGTTGGGGGTGTGGCTCAGGGGTAGAGCGTCCCTAAGTCCAGTCCCCAGAAGGGTATAGGGAGTGCAAAGAGCAGTTAAGAACCCACCCGAGCTCCCTCCTCAAGCAACTACAAGGATAGACTCATCAGAGATAGAGAAGACAAAGGAGCAGGTCTAGAAGGAATCAAGACTACCGTGAAGGAGATGGGTGAATGCAAGGGAACGAACGAACCGCTGAAACGTTTCCCTGAAGCGTGATACCAAAGATATGCCCAGCACCTGTGCGGTCCAGCCCGTGCCGGACTGCCCCTTGAATAAAAGGCAGAGGTGCCTTTAAGAGGGTCCCGCCCCACCATGAAGCCCCGCCCAGAGAGGGTCACGTGGCCCTCGCGACCACTCCGGGCGGGGCTCGGGAGGTTTGAAAGGTTGGCGCGCGCTTCGAGAGCGGCAGTTCGGCCTGCCCCGAGAATGTCGGTGTTGCGGCCTCTAAGCAAGCTGCCCGGCCTGAACATAGCCACCATCTTGGTAAGTGCCTGCGGGCCGGCGACCCCGATCCTCGCTTAGATGCGCCTCAGTCGCTCGGGGCTTTTCTCTCTCTGAGGGACGGCGCCCGCTGTTCCGGCACAGTGGGGTAGGCGGGAGAGCCATGTCCTGAGCCAATCAGAGTAGACGCTCTCAGAGGCTCAGGGCCGCACTCACCAATAGATGAGTGGCAGAAGATTTGCTGCCTTCTGATTGGTGGAGCGGTGAAGCGCGCGGAGTGCCCGCTGGCCAAGTTGGTTTTCTAGCGCTGGCCTCCTCTGCAAATTCCTTTTTCTCGTGGGGCCTGGCTGCCTGAGCAGGGTGTCAGCAGGTCTGGAGTGTGTGCTTGCGGGAAATGCTCTCAGGGATTGGATCCTTCCGGCCCACTGAAGATGTGGCCTGATCCGCTGGAGGGCGAAGCTGCGCCGGGCTCTCGAGGGCCCCGGTCCTCACCAGACGCTTCTTTTCGCCACAGCTGGTGGGCTCGGAGGATGCGCTTCTCCAGCAGCTGGCGGACTCGGTGCTCAAGGAGGACTGCGCGTCCGAGCTGCGGGTGTAAGTAGCCGAGCCCGGGTGTGAGGAGCAGCGTATATGCTCGGTCCAAGGCTGTCGGATTAAGACTAAAGATTCAAGCGGGGAGCGGCGGTGCACGCCGGGCATCCCCGCACTTGGAGGACTGAGGCAGAGGATCTGAGTTGGATGTCAGCTCGGAAAACTGAATCGCAATAAATATATAAACGATTCAAGAAAGTCTCCCACTCACCCATACTGGGGATTGAACCCAGGGCCTTTGCATTTACCTGTGTCCCCAGCCCTATGAATTTAGGCAGTCTCACCGAATTGCCCAGGCTATCCTTGAACTTGTGATCCTCCTGCTTCAGCCTCTCCAGGTGCTGGCTTACAAGCCTGTGCCACTACATCTGGCTTCAAGCAAGTGAAGAGGATGCCAGAAATGCCTCAGGATAGTAAAAGTTCATTACAAGAGCCAGGAAGGTAGCTCAGTGCAAAAGCCAGGATTCAATTGCTAGTAAGTACTACATATAAACAAGTTGCCTATATCCGTGGAGCAAAAACAAGATGGAATTGTGAGTAAGAATACTTATCTCTTCACAGCTGTGGCATTCAGTTCCTCGCAAGAACTCCCCAGCCACAGTGGCAGGTTCATCGGGCTGAGTTCAGAGTTATACAAAGGGCAAAATATGAATGGACACAGTACTAATGATGACAACCAGCTGTGGTGGCGCACACCTGTAATCACTTGGGTAGCCGAGGCAGGAGGAGGGCTACAAATTCGCGGCAGCCTGCACTACATAGCAACATGGTTTTCTCAAAAACAAAATAAAAAGGGCCAGGGCAATAGCTCAGTGGTAGAGAAATTGCTTGCCTAGCATATGTGAAGCTATTGGTTCAAAGTTTATCCATAGTTCTTCCCCTTTTTCAATTCTACTTTATTTTACTTTTTTACTTCTGTTCCATTCAAATTAAGTTAATGGTGTTAGACTGGGGAGATAGCTGAGCAGCGTAAGGTCCTGCCTGGCAAGTGCAAGGTCCTGAGTTCAAGGCCCAGTACCAAAAAAAATTGCATGTATACATATATATGCTGTTATCCTATAATTTTTTTTTAAATGTACTTGGTACAGGGTCTCACTACGCAGCTCGAACTCATAGTGATCCTCCTATTTTCAACCTCCCCAGCACTGGGAGTATAAGCATGCGTCACCATGCCCAGACTCGATGGCTGGCTCACCCTGCCCCGAGGTGGGACAGGCTTAGCATGTGGTACCGGGGATTGAATCCCCATCCCTGTGCTTGCCTAAGCAGGCACTTAGTCCGCTGAGCTATCTTGTTTCCTGTAGTTATTATCTGCATGTGTGTACATTCTATACATGAAGAGGCATATAGAAAAAAATATTCTAATGCTAATAGTAATTTCTAGGTGTCTAGACTTTTGGGAGTTGTATGTTTTTGAACTTTTTTTTTGTGGAACTGAGGATCAAACTTAGGACCTTGCACTTGCCAGGCAGGCACTTATGTTGCTGAGCTATATCCCTGGCCCTTGAACTTTTATAGTTACTATATTTTTTGGTATTTTGTAATTATAGCCTGAGAAAAGGAGAGATACATTACATCCCCACATTAATAGGAACTGGTGGATATGGGCAAAAGTAGAGGCTGTAAGGAAGGCCTTCAGGCTGAGGGTGTCGCTGAGCCCAGCACTTGCCTGGTACATGTGGCAGCCTCTTCTGTGGAGGGTGACATGTGAAGGTCGCTGTGAGTGGACATGTAGCTTCACAACTACACTTGCTTGTTTTTCAGCCACTTGGCGAAGTCCCTCCCTCTGCCCTCTAATGTGAATCGACCCCGCATTGACCTGGTTGTGTTCGTGATTAATCTTCACAGCAAATACAGGTGGGAGCTGGCTTGGGCAGGCGCTGGGACTGGCCTCCCCTATGAAGGGAGGAAGGGAAGGTGCTAAGAGGTTCCTTGGACCTCAGGGATGAAGAGGGGGGAGCCAGTGACCAATGTGGATGTGTGAAAGTCCCCAACAGATCCCACCAGTGTCTGTTCATTTACTTAATAATCTGTCTCTCCTCCCCCCACCCCTTTCTCTCCCTGCGGTACTAGGGATTGAACCCGGGACCCTTGCACCAAGCTACAGCCCCAACCCTTTTCATTTTTTATTTTGAGCCATGGTCTCAATAAGTTTTTCAGGCTCAGCTCCAGCTCACAGTCCTCCTCCCTCAGCTCCCAGCAGGATGCTGGGATTACGGGTGTGCACCTCCAGACCCAGTTTTATCCCTCTCTGTACACTGTGTAGCAGGCGCTGGAATGAACAAAGCAGATCCCTGGCCTCAGGGTGTCCACATCTACCAGGGAAGAAGCGGGCGTGGGCAGACAGGCGAAGTTCCTGGTTGCATACTGTGTAGGAAGGCAGTACTGGACAGTGGGAGCCCAGGACGTGTGGCCACCAGGCCGTCAGTGTAGAGGTCAGGGCAGATTTTCAGGTGATACAACAGCGGAGTAGAGGAGTTAAATAGATGAAGATGGGCATGAGCCCCTCCGGGAATGGCTGATGGCAGTTAGGCAGGGCTTGGAGCCAGCATGGAGACGGTCGCAGATGGGTCGGGGGCTGAGGGACAACTATGAGGGAGACAGACGGAGACAGCAGATCCATGTGGCACAGAATTGGCTCTAGACCTCACCACCCACCTAGTTAGCTATTTAACAGTGGAAAGACGAGAAAGAGCTGAGATCTGTGGTGACTCCCTTATAATAGTGAGAAGCTGGAGGACACTTAAAATACTCAGCTCTGGAAAAATAGTTTATATTAGTTGTATATTTATCCTGAAAGGTGTGACATATTTCTGTGTACTTGTCAGTTTTACATTACTGTAATAAAATACCAGAGGCAGGCTACTTTATAGAGAAGAGAGGTGGTATGTGCTGGCATTATCAGCACTCTCAGAAGCTGAGGCAGGAGGAACTCAAATTCAAGCCCAGCCTGGACAACTTAAGAATGTAGCAAGACCCTGTCTCAAATTAAAAAGTTAAGGCTAGGGAGGTAGCTCAGCAGCCTAAGCACCTACCTAGCAAATGCAAGGACCCGAGTTCGATCCCTGGTACCATATGCCGTGCCAGCCTGGAACAGGCTCTGAAACGAGGCATTGTGGTGCATGCCAATAATCCCAGCACTGTGGAGACAGGAGGTTCACTCCAAGTCAGAACTGCATGGCAAGACCCTGTATCAAATAAATAAGTTTAAAATATATATATATATATATATATATATATATATATATATATATATTTAGGGGTCAGCCAAATAGCTCAGTGGATTAAAGCAGGCGCAGGGGCTGGGGGTTTGATCCTGCCATGCCGGCCCCACCTCCAGGGCACTCTGAGATGGCAACTGAGACTGGGCATGGTGGCACATGCCTGTAATCCCAGCTCTTGGGAGGCTGTAAACAGGCGGATCACTATGAGTCCGATCTAGTAGTGAGACCCTGAACACCCTGTAGACACTTCCCTAAAATACAAAAAAAAACAAAAAAAAAAATAATAATAATAATAATAATAATAAAGTTATTTTAAGTGGGTGTGCTCAGAGCAGGTGGCCTGAAGAATGGCTTCTCTATTTACAACACACCCAACAGGAATTTAGGGTCACTGTGACAAGAGGCACAACACTTGTGACTTCCCTGTGAGCAAAGGTCCCACACATGTACTCCATACACTTCCACATGGCTTCTGGACAGCACCAATGGGACAAGGCTGTGCAGCATTTCGTGAGGGAGGTGGGCATTGTCCCCTGATCCATGGTGATCCCTGGAAGTCCTAGAAGTAAAGACTGAATTTCTATTTTCAATACATTACAAATAATAATAAATAAAAATAATTCTTCTTCCAAAAAAAAAAAAAAGTTATTTTAAAAGGCCTGGGGGTGTAGCTCAGTACTGAGGCTCAGTGCTCAGTACTGCAAAAAAGACAACCAAAAGGTTTTGCCTCACGGTTGTGGAGGGGCCAGGTCACGGGCTTGGATTTGGTCATGGCCTTGCCAGCAGAGTCCCGCAGTGGTGAGGAAAGGGGAGTGTTGTGCTCTCTCTTCCGCTCCCCACGTAAGTCCCAGAACTCAATGATGAGCTTATCTACTGCTCGACACCCCCGACCGCTCCCCCAAATCGGTGACCTCTCCACCTTCTTAATACTGCTTGTATCATGGGAATTAGACTTCAGCACACCCAGCCCCCCTGGGGGACACTGTGAAGCCGCTTCCAAAATTCTGCAGTGCTAAGGAGTTGGGCCAGGTTCATGCTCTACCCAAAAGACAGGCGCTTATACTGCCTGCTGTCTTTGCATATGAAAAAGGTTCTAAGTCGCACCCCAAACTGCTTCCTGTGGGGAGTTGGGAGCGAGGGGTAGTGCTGGGACAGGAGACATTTTCTCTCTATGTTTGCCTCTCTATTTACTATTTGATTATTTTACAAGCCTGAGTCACTTTAAGATTGAAAGTAGTTTTTTGGAGGTGATTTTTTCCTTCTAATTAAAGGATGCGTTCCTCCAGGGGTGTGTCTCCAACCCTCTCTATTCTCTGCCCTCTTGGGTCCGATGGGGAACATACCACGTGTTGTTTTCTCACCGGGCCTGGCCTCTGCAGCCTGCAGGTTGTAGAGGAGTCCCTGCGCTACATGGATGCCAGCTTCTTCCTGGGCAAGGTGTGCTTCCTGGCCACGGGTGGTAAGTGTGCCCTCCTTGCCCGCCACCCCCAGGGGGACCTGCGGCCTGGGTAACACAGCTTGAGCAGTACCCGCTGCTGCTCAGTCCTGCGGCTTTCAGAGTCAAATCCCAGCTCCTCAACGACAGGCTTTCGCTCTCCGGTCTCGGCCTCTGTGTCTAGTATCACCCCCGTTGCGCTCAGTCTTGGAGTCAGCTATCGTTCCCTCGCAGCAGAAATGGTGACAGCCAGCCCTGACTGGGCTCTCGCTATGCCAGACTCGATTTGTAGTTGCTTTGTCTTTTTATATCATTATCCTTTAGCATAGTAGCAGCTCAGTTTTATATCTGAGGAAACTGGTCGTGAGGTTAAGCAATTGCCCAAGGCCCTGCAGCCAAAGAGGGAGAGCTTGTGTAGTTTCTCTGCATACTTTTGTTCCCTTTGTTTCGCTAACGCTGCAAATATCTCAAGACGCAGCTCCAGTGTCACCATTGGCACCTAGGACCGGACATGTGTGACCTGTATGCCTCTTGACCTAACCTGTGTGCATGGAGGGAGGACCTAGTGCAGATTATTCCCAGTAAGCGCTGGTGGACAAAAAGTGCCTGTGACTTCTGGACATGGGTTCATTGGCTCTACCCGCACTCCGTGGGCCGCGAGCTCTTCCTGTGCCAGTTGATATTGAGTCTTGTGGGTTTGCAGAACACGCTCTGTGAGCCGATGCAGCGTTATTGTCCAATTGATGGTCTCGACCACCCAAGAGCAGGACTAGTAAGGAGCTGTCACTGTGAGGGGGCAGTGGCTGCTCTGCCCAGGGCCCCTGGGTGCAGCCTGCAGCTCTCCGACCTCTTTGCAGCTGGGCGGGACAGCCACTGCAGCGTCCACCGGAACGCGGTCGGGAAGCTGGCCCACACCTACCGAAGCCCCCTGTTCTTCTGCGACCTGGAGGTGAGAACGCTGACCACAGTGGCCAGTGCTACAGGCGGATGTGGGGAAATGGCATGGCGGGAAGGCCCGCGCGAGGGGGCTGCAATGTGAAGGGAGACGTGGCTCCTGGCCCTTCTGCTCGCTGGCTGTGACCTCTGTCAGCTGACCTGGCCTTGGGAAGCCTCGTGTACATTTAAGATCCAGATTGATATCTCACTGCCCTGCTTCTGAGGCCAGGTGTCTCCTCAGAAGTCTGATGCCTGAAGTCCCCCTGCCTCCCTGGACTGTCGGGCTTGTTCAGTTCTGGCTCAGAGCAGGGCACAAGCAGGCAATAGGGACACTTGTGGGGCAGGGCGACGGCTGGGCTCGGAGCATGAGGGGCCTCAGCAGGAGCCCAGGTGCTGGGCTCTGGGGGCAGGGGCTGCCCACCCGCACAGCAGGCCTGCTCGCTTTCTTTAAGGATCTGTTTACTCGTGGCAGAGTTCATTTTGAAGATCCGTCTGTCCACTGTCGTGGGCCTGGCTCTGTTCCCCGAGCAGAGTGGGGTGATGCAGAGAGCGGTCTGCCCAACCCCTCAGCGCCTGCTCTGAGGGCAGAACGCAGAGGATCTGTGAGGAAAAACTTATGTGGTGAGGAAAGAAGTATTTCTTTTTTCCTACTAACCTTAAGCGAAATTGAGCATTGCAGGTTGGACAAGGGTGCAGAATAGCAACGTCCGGGACTGCTACTAGCGGAAACAGCAGTGTTCGCGTGTTGCACTAGATTAGCACTGCTCTGGCCCTGTTCTGGGTTAGCCCTGTCTCCGGTCACTTCTGAGCCGGCACGTTGATAAAGGTGCACATACTAACCCGTCGCAGATTGTCTGGGAGTTTTATCTCACTTTGTTTTTCCAGCACTGGGGATTAAACCCTGAGCTTTCACACTAAGCCACATCCCAATCTACTTTTTTTTTTTTTTTTTTTGCCGGAACGGGGGATTGAACTCAGGTCCTTGCGCTTGCCAGAGAAGTGCTTATTCCTCTGAGCCATCTCCCCAGCCCTATGTTTATTTTGATAATGGGGCCTCACCAAGTTGCTAAGCTGCCCAAGCTGGTCTCAGACTTGCCATCTTCCTGCCTCAGCCTCCCAGAGTTCTGGGATTACAGGTGTGTACCCCTACACCCAGCTTTCCTCACAGTTTGATTTCAAATTGGGTGAAACCCCTGATGGATCTTACAGACAGAGCACACCTAGAGCGCCTCCCCTACCAGACTTTCCTCAGAGCAAACCTGAGGAGACTGTCACAGCTTGGAGGTTAGGGCCCGCCAGCTGCTGTCCAGCTATCTCTCCACAGAAGCCACCTTCCCCCATAAGCTTCCCCACAAGCCTTAGTTTTCTTTTCTCTAATTGAGGACTCATTTCTGCCCCTCAGCTGAGGAGCACGTGTGGGGGAGCCCCAGCGCCTGCTAAACTTGTCACAAGTGGTGCAGTTGTGTGTATGGCCATCAGGTGGCAGGCCATACCAGATCTGGGCCGTTTCTATCCTGGGAACTCAGTCTCAAGACCTGTGTAGGAAGCAGAGGCCCAGCCTGTTGCCAGCCAGCAGCAGGCGCTGCAGAAATACCTGCTGGGTGTGGCCCTGTATCCTTCAAAGGAAGCCCACCATGCGTGCATGGACCCTTGCCGCTCCACGGGCTGGTGGGCCTGCCCAGAACATGCCCTTCCTGTGGTAGGAATCACCTGCCCCCTTCCCAGGCCTGGAAATGTACCCAGGGAGGTGTGTGACTCACCCAGAGAACAATTGCAGGGTCTGGCTGCAGTTCACACAGGTGGGACTGACACCGGCCCCACCCCTCAGAAGCTAGGGACAAAGTGAGAGACAGCGAGAGGTTTGCTGGGCCTTGGAAGCCTGGCGTGGAGTCGAGTCATTGTTTCCTGTGTGCTGTGGGTGAAGTCCCCACCGTGGGCTGAGGGCTTGGGGCCTGGTCTCTGAAGGCAATGTATGGGTGGGTGGAGGCCTGGCCGATAGGAGGCAGCTGTGGAGCCTGAGCCACAGCAGCCACTCGAAGGTGGGCTTCAGGGGCAAAGGCCACAGGATTCAGATTGGGAGAATTCATTCAACAAATCTCGCATACACAGCCATCCTAGGCACTAGGGGCATAGCATTGAGCAAAAAGGGACATGCTGGTGGCAGGGGCAGTGACATCATCTGTGGTCCCAGCTTCTTGGGAGGCTGAGGTGGGAGGATCAGGTGTCCCATGAGGACATTTAAGCCCAGAAACTTAAGGGCATCCCAGGCAACATGGCAGGAGGAACAGCTCAATGGTAGAGCACCTCCACCAAAGGAGACCCCGCACTGAAGGGGAGGGGGTAAAGGCCATCGATGGAGGGAACAGTCAAGACTGAGACTGTCCTGGGGCCTCAATTCAAGGGGGAGGCAGGCTTGAGCAGAAGGCCAGGCTGTGGTGGCAGCGTGTGCTCACTGGCCGAAGCAACAGCAGACATGCAGCCGCTGGTATGACAGGGAGGCCTGGGGGTCTGGAGCCCAGGCAGTGAAGACCATAGGGACAGGAGGAGAATCAGCAGCCATGGGGCCGGTTGGCCACACTGGGGGTCGTGGCTCCAGCTGTGGCTTTTATTGAGAAAGTCTGAGCTGCTGGGGAGTATGGGCCCTGCTGGCTGCTGTGGGGAGAGGGGGCCGAGGGAGGAGCAGGTAGAGAGGGGAGTGCTGTTGACTGCAGCGCTCTGGCTCCTTCTGGGAGAGCTGAGGTTGGCCCGGGCTCAGTGGTGGCCTGGGGAGAGAGCAGTGAGATGGTCTGCGACACTGGCTGTCTCCTGGGTGGAGGGGACAGAATGTGCTGAGAGCCAGATGTGAGATGTGACAAAAAGATGAGTCAAAGACAGTTGCAGTTTCTGGCCTGGTGACCAGAAGACCGTGTTCCTTTTCGGCAGTGAGCAGGATGCAGGCCGAGTCTGGGGCTTCTGCATAACATGCTGAGATGAGAGGGCCAGTGACAGTCTGGGGGGAGGCCAAGCCCACAGCCACACCCAGTGCTCAGAGGAAAGGTCTGTGGTGGTCACATGTGTGACGTCAGCAGCTAGGTGGCTCTAAAGCCACAGAATGGGATGAGGTCACCTAGGGATCCAATGTGGGAGGCAAAATCCAGAGCTGAAGGCCTAGAACCCAGGCCTTCAGATGTTGGGCAAAGGGAAGTGAGCAAGTGTGGGGTGGCAGGGGCCAGACAGCGGTTCACAAGGGCCGAGCAGCCAGGTCCTTTCCGGTGACTTGGTGCAGTGTGGACTGAGAAGTCCAGGGACACTGTGAGTGAGAAGCAGCGGGCAAAGAGTCCACACCCCATCTTGCCGCAGCTGCCCTACCCCTGGCGGCCGGAAGCTGCCCAGAGAGGTGTGGCCACCACCTAGCCCACTCACGGCCTTCCCTGCCTTCCCCGCAGGTGGACACCTTCCGGGCCAGTCTGGCGCAGCGCCTGGTGCGCATGCTGCAGGTCTGCGCCGGCCATGTGCCTGGCGTCTCGGCGCTGAACCTGCTGTCCCTGCTGCGGAGCTCCGAGAGTCCCCCGCCAGAGGAGCTGTGAGGACAGGCAGAGCACAGCAGGCCCAGCCAGCCCTCCCATCCCACACTCGCTCTGCCGGAGCCCTGGGTCTTCCTTGTGTGACACACACATCCCTACTTAAGATTTCACCAGAACAAAGGGCCGGTGGCTAAAAATGGTCTGAAAATCATTGGTCTTATCCACTACTTTGACTTTGCAGATGAGGAAACTGACTCAGAACAATGGGGGCGGGTGGGCTATGGGCTCTACGAGCTGAGTGGCCCACATCCTGGCCCTGCTCTTCCTAGGAACCTGGTTGTTGTCCTTGGGAGCCTCAGTTTCCCCAGGTGTGAGTCAAGATGGTCAGTCTGCCGTGGCACATCATGGGGGTTGAATGAAGTGACGGCTGTGTCACTCCCGTGTTTGCTTGGTTAATCTCAGCACAGAAGTGGGAGGCACTCGGAGAACAACTGTGATTTGAAATCTCGCAGAGCTGCGCCTAACAGCTGGGAATCGTGCCACCAAGGCCGGAGGTATATGAGGCCCGAGCAGCTGGCCTGAAGGCCCTGGGTTGCGGGGAGAGATTATGTGGACCCCGCAGCTTGCCGCCTCCTGCCTCTGCTAGGCTATTTGTGGAAGTGCTGGGACAGGGCTCTAGGAACCCTGTCATTCTGGTGAAAGCCCAGTGCCACTGCTGCAGGGACAGGGGAGCACCCAGATGCTCAGAACTTGGCGCTGAAGAGTGGCCCGGCGCCTGAGGCCTTTTGCAGAAACCTGGGTGCTTCCTGCCCTCAGCCCCAGCCCAGCCCTGCATGACATCCTGGCAGCGCAGCCTATGCTGTGGTGTCACCAGTGTCCCTGGTACACAGGCTCCTGCTCTTCTTCAGAGGATGGGCCAACTTCTAACCCTTGTCAGTGCCAGGAGGGTAGGGCCTGCCACCAGCACCTGGCCCGGGCCGCCCCTGTCACTGGTGTACAGCGAGGCCTTGTTCATACCTGGCTGGCTCCACGGCAGCCCTGGGCCCCACTGAAGACCTCAGCTGTGCGGATCCGGTCGTGGCCCCAGAGTCACCTGACATTTGCAGCACATCACGCTTCGCCGAGCTCTTCTCAAAGCAGCCACCCCTCCCCCCAGCAGCCCTGTGAGGTCACCAATTTCTCTCCATTTTACAGTTTCTGAAACTGAGACTATTGTCATCAGGGGTGTGGCTGCTGTCACATGGCCAGGTGGTCCTGTAGGGCTTGACTGGCATTGTGGTGTCTCTGCCAGGCAGGCCTGAGCTGGAGACGAGAGGCCTGAGCAGAGGCCCATGAGTGGCCTTCTCAAAGGGCCTGGGGACACATCATCATGAGTCCCTTTGGTGTCCTGTGCTGGAAGGGGGCTCTGCAGGGCCCTGGGGAGGATGCTGCGTGGACACGGCCTGTTCCCTGTCCTGGACATGTCCCCTGTGCTGCAGACACAAGGCCTTCCCACAGCTCTGACCCTGCCCCAGCCAGCATGGGGCATGCCTCTCACACCAGGTCCCTGTGCCACATTTTCTTTGCCACCTGGTGCCATTTAACAAGAGAAATGGCATTGCATTCTCCAGCGAGAACCTGGGAGCCTTCCAAATGCCAAGGGAACTCAACATGTCACCGCTGCCAGCTCCCTGCCGAGCCTGGCACAGTCTGGAACTGAGAGGCCGCCTCGAGCTGGGGGTTGGCCTGCCCTGCCTCACAGCAAAGCTGAGTGACATGTAGATGACAGCCAGGTGCCCTGGCCCTGCTGTCCCCAGAAGGCTGGGGATGGATGGACAAGTAATTGTTGATTGCCAACACCTGGGGCCCATGGCGCTGTCCCAGAGGTGACCGAGGGAGGCAATGTCCTCTCCTGTCCCTGTATCCAGTGAGTGTCTGGAGTTATGCCTGGGGCTGTGGTGGGAGAGGCAGGAGCCGGAAGTTGCCCGCTCTCTTGCGTACAGTGGGTCGCAGAGTGGGGCTCACTGGTTGGAGGAAGGCTTTTCTTTCCTTGGTCATGCAGACTGGCATTGTACTTACAGTAATTCTCCTGCCTCGGCCTACTTGGTGCTGGGATTAGAGGTGTGTACTACTAAGCTCAGCTTGGAGACAGTTTTTCAGGGTGATTAAAGACCCTGAGTTCCAGATTTGAGTGAGGATGACTTGGGAGATGCTTCTGCTGGGCCAAGAAGCCACCAGGTCTCTGCTTTCATGAGCCCTGTGGTCTGGGTGAAACGTTCAAAACTCAGGCAGGCTTTGCTCAAGGTCACAGGTTGATTCGTCCCCTTTAAGCCTCCTCTTTGCAGTGAGCCCCCAAACCACCCAGGGAACTCGAATCCTCTGCACCAAGGGCCCCGGTCTGTTGGCATGTCCCATCCTTGCAGGCCCAAGCCCCCATGGGGAGGGAGCCCTGCAGCAGGGCTCTGGGAATCTGCTCTCCCTTGAGGCCAAGGCCAGCACCTGGCCACAGAGGAAGTGGTGCTGGGAAAGGAGCCGACCCTGGAGTCCCACTGTGACCTGGGCCAGTCACTTCCCTCCAAGCCCCACCTGCTGTGCCTCTTAGGCTCCCGTGGGGCTAACTCAAAAGAGCCGCCCCTGCTCCTGCCCCTTGTCCACCTTCCACAGACAGTGGCCTGCCAGGCACAGGTGCAGCGAGCCCTGCACAGCCGCGAGACAGCACCCAGGCAGCTGGGCCTGCTGGCACAGGGGGGCCCACACTCGCCCTTGTCCAGAAGGCACCAGCTGGGGCAGCGCCTGCCCTCTAGCTCCCGCTGCTGAGGACCAGCTCCAGCAAGGAGGGTGGGCGGCCTGTCCCCAGTATTCCCCATCTGCACAGGAGTCCTCTCTTAGGACAAGGAGGGGCCCAGGTCACCCGGGAGGGGGCATAACGGCCCCACTCTCTGAGGGGCCACAGGCTCCTTGGGCTGGGCTTCCATGCCGGCACTGTCTGCAGCCAGACCAGACCCACAGACGGCCACACAGGCTGTATTCCTGGTCACCTTGCAGTGGATTATTCACACTGTCCCCTCTGTTCTAGGGTCATCTTCGGTCCAGACTGTTTCTGACTCCCCTGTTTAATGTGACCTCTGATTACTGCCATCTTCCCTTCTCAATGCCACCCCTACACACATCGTGCCCCTGCCTCCTAAGTCCCTTCCTGCTTGGATTTTGTCTCTGCTCCCCTGTTGCTGCCCAGAACCTGTCTGTCTGGTGTGTAGTAGGTGTTCACTTGACATTCGTCTGGTGCAGAGGTGTCTGCCCACGGGATCAGCTGTGCATTTGTAAGAGCCAGAGCCCCTGCGGAGGTTCCTACCCCATCCCCCCAGCACACCTGCTGCATGGCCCCCAGGAGGTGGGGACCCAGCCCACAGGGATATGGCCTCCTGGTCATCCTCACAGAAGGGTCTATGTCCACCCTCCCCAGGGCCATGCTCAGAATGCCTGGGCTGACCAGCTGGGAGCCCCAAGGAGGGCCCGGGGGAGGGTGCATGCACTCCCGGCCACTCCTGCCTGCTGCTCTCAAGTCTGGACCCACCCAGCACCCTTGTTTGTTGGGGTTCAGCACAGAAGCCGGGCAGAGGGTGTCTCTGCAGCGGGAACCAGGGTGCTGTCACCCTGCAGGGACCTGAGCAGTCCCCAGGGATGACCCTGTGCCAAAACACCAAGCATACCTCTATCAACAGCTCCAGATTATAAAGGTGCAGACCAGCCTGGATGAAGCGCTGCCGCAGAGGCTCCCCGGGGACTGCAGGGCACCACCCCTTCCTACCCAGCCTTCTGGGCTTTTCATGAGAACGCGCTCAGCCATTACTGCCCTAATTACGACTAAAGCTCATTTGAAGTTTGGAGCACATCCCGCCTGGCCCCAGAGCAGTTTCACATCCAGCCGAGGGGGCTGGGCCTCTGCCCCTAGGGACTGCACCCCCAACCTGGGTTTGTCCCATAGGCACCGGATGGCCCCGCTCCCCTTGCCCTGTCCCAAACACCCCTCACAGTATCTGCTGGGTCATCCTGGGAAAGCCCATTACCCCTTGAGGCCTGTTTCCTCATCGGAGGTTGTTTTGGGGGGATTTGGAGTGCAAAAATGAAAAGTAGCCTCCCTGACCCCAGTTGAATCGTATAAAAAAAAAAATATTCAGTGAATGAAAAGTCAAGAATGTGAGACATTCAAGAAGAAGTTCACTATAAAGTCCCCTGTTTTCTGCTCAAGAACACGCTGAGGTCACAATCTTTTTTTGCTGGGCATGACACTTGCTGTGTCCCAGCTCCTCTGGGGGCTGAGGCCGAACCACACAGGAGTTCCATTTAGCAGTTCTTTAACAGAACAAAGAAAAAATCGGTGTGCTGCACTGATTTTGGAAACTTTAGCTCTTCCCCCTTGGTCATCTTTCAGAGTGACCCAGAAGAGCTTCCGGGTTGGTGGGCACATGGAGGAGGTTTTGGGAGGGTGGTCCCAGGTGGCACACTCACCCGGAGAGGGTATAGAAACTCCACGTCCCCCCAGATTCTCTCCCTTTACATCCTCCATCTGGCAGGACCTGAGCTGTACCCTTTACAATAAACAGACAACAGTTTATGTCCAAGACTTGAATGGGAAAGTAAGAAACTTCGTTGTGGTGCTAGCGCACGCCTATGCCCCCAGCTACTCGGGAGGCAAGGCACTATGGCAAGTTCAAGGCCAGCCTGGGCAGCGTAGTGGGACTCCGCCTCAAAACTAGAAATAGAAAGGGCTAGGGATGTAGCTCAGTGGTAGAGTGCTTGACTAGCGTATAGGGACTAGGGATTCAGTCCCTCATCTGAAAACGAAGTTAATAAGCCTGATGTAAGACAATCGCTGTGGCACACACTGGTGACTCCAGCGCTTGGGAGGCTGAGGCAAGAAGATCTCAAGTTTTAGGCCAGCCTGAACCTGAGCTAGCAAGACCCTGCTCAGAAGGGGAGGAGAGCCATGAAAAAGAATACACTGCGGTGTAACCTAACCCTTCCCACACTGGAGGGATTCCTCCCACCCGAGCCCCGCCCGGCCCTGCCCTACTCCAAGCCCTGTGCAGAGACTCAGCTGGGGGCTGATGCTCCGCAGACTCCGCGGCGCAGGCCGTGTGCAGTTCCCAGCCTGGGCCCCCCAACACCCGGCACCTGCACGCACACGGGAGGTGCCCATAGATGTGAATCGGGATACAGATCTGTCCCTTCCCATCTAAGGTGAGAGACAGAGTGACAGCTCAAGGCCCCTGTGGCCTGAGGGGCTGGAGGCAGCTCAGCTGCGGGCCACCCTCATCCTGCGGTAGGGTGAGGGCCCGTGTGGCTGGCAACCTCGGTGCAGCTCATGGTGCCTGTGCTGGCCTCTGCGCCACCCCCTCCCAGGGACAGGTCTCCCAGCCTCTGTCTGACACAAGGGCCACATGGGGCACCTGCTCTGTCCCTAAGGAGTGCAGGGAGGAGCAGTGAGCTGGGTGGGTTTGTGGCCTAGACCCGTGTCCCAGAAGCCTGACCCTGCCCTGGCTCCCTCACCTCACTCCCCCCACCTCCGCCTCCCCCACTTCTTTGCAACCACCGCCCACACCTTCCTGCCAAGTGAGCACTGGGCCGTGGGTAGCGGGTGGGAGGCAGCACCCTGCCCACAGCGTGGCCCTGGGGTCCACAGGAGTCGGGATCTCCAGCCAGAACCCCCTGGGCCAGCCAAGCTCCTCTACCTGGGAGCTGCCTCGTCATCGCCTGCCAGACCACGGCACCGGCCTGTCCCTGCTCTTTCCACCTCCAGCCGTGGCACCGGGGAGGAGCGGTCTGATTCCTGACTCCCTTTGCCCAGCACCTGCAAACCTTCCCGCACACTGACCCCCATCCCAGGGCTCCACCATTGTTGCACCTGCCAGGTGGCCTGCTGCCAGGGGGAAAAGGGAAGGAGGGAAAGGCACCAAGGGGAGGGCCGTGTGGCCTGGGCTGGAGGGCAATGAGGCTGAGGTGGCTTGAGGCACTGCCTGCCTCCCTCATCCGTGGCCAGCGTGGTGCAGGGACACTCTGGACAGGCAGGTAGCCACTTAGCGGTGGCTGTGTAGACATTTTTGGTGGATTAAACTCAGGGCCTTTTCACCAAATTGCATCTCCAGTCGTTTTTTATTTTGAGGCAGAGGTCCACTAAGTCACTATTTTTCCCAGGTTGAGCTCAAACTTGCAATAATTTTCCTGCCTCAGCCTCCCAGAGCTCTGGGATTGTACTGCCACAGCAGCCACTTTGGAGTTTTTTTTTGTTTTTCTGAGACAGGGGGTGACTGCATACCTCAGGTTGGCCTCTACGTCATGATGGTCCTTGGCCTCCTGCGTGGGGGGATTACAGGTATGTGCCACCACACTTGGCTTTTTTCTTTTTTATTTGGTTGGCAGTTGTGGTGGTGGTGGTGGTTGTTGAGATGTTTGATGTCCTAGACCAGCTCTGGGAAGGGCAGAGAAGGAGGTGGAGGCATTGGGGGTGGAGAGAGCGACCCAGGTGAAGCCGAGCAGAACCCACCCTGAGTCTGTGTCCACAAGTCAGGCTCTGGTCTGACCTCCACATAGCGCTCGCCCAGCTGGTGTCTGGGGTGACGGTTGAGTGGTTGGATGGGGGAACCATAAGTGAAAGAGAAGGTCTGTGGTACTGGTCCTACCCCAGTGGTCCCACCCAGCGGACGGGGCGGGGCCTCTAGGCTTCCTCTCAGCCCGGAGACTTGGAGCCCAGCTTCTCCTGGCGCCTCAGCACCATGGGCCAGGGGGCTCGGGGCCTGCAGGGCATGAACGGGCCGGGGCCCACGCACTGTGTGCAGGCCAAGTGCTTTGACCAGCTGGTACGTCACTGCGTGGACTGCAAGCTCCTCCGCACGCCAGAGCCTAGAGCTGGTAAGAGAAGGACACTGCCACACGGCCGGGGTGACCAGGGAGGAAGTCCTGCTGTGGAAGTCTCCACTTGCTGGCCTGACCAGGCCCTGGGCTGATGGGCTCCCGAGGACCAAAGGTCACCACGTGGTCTCACCACCCCTCCCCTGTCCCCCGCCCGCTGTTACCACTGCCTGCTCAGCTTTGCCTCCCAGCAGCCCCCCTTCATTCTCCCCTCCGCCCACCAGCCTCCCTCCCTGTCCCCTCTGCCAGCAGCAGGGGCAAGCAGCCAGGCACCTGGAACCGCGCTGCAACCCCAGGAGTCAGTGGGCGCCGGAACCCCACAGGCCGTGCTGCCCCTGCCTGGGCTGCTCTTTGGGGTCCCTGTACTCCTGGGCCTGGCGCTGCTTCTGGCTCTGGTTCTGGTGGCCCTGGTGAGCTGGAAGTGGCGACAGCGCAGGACCCTGGAGGCTCTAGAAAGAAGCCAGGATGGTGAGTCTCATGTTGGGAGCCTGGAAGCGCTGGCCTCTAGGGAACTATGGCAAGTCCCATGTCCCCAGGAAGCCCTGTGGGGTGGCCTGGTGGGCTTCCCCCCCAATCCCCTCCTTAAGTCCCCTGATCAGGTCTCTAAACTCAGCACTTCCTGTCCTGAGGATCTGTCACAGGCCACCCCTCCCTACCCCATCACCAAAGCTGTTGGAAGGAAGTTTCCAGAACTGGGTTGGGGAAGCCTGGGTTTCCTGACTCTCCCTGTCCCCTGCCCTGATCACTCTAGAGCCCCCGGACAACATCTACATCCCCTCCTCGGGAACTCCTGATGCCTCGGCTCCTGTCTGGCCTGCACCCAGGGAAGACCCGGCCGCAACCCCATCTAGCCACAGTGTCCCTGTTCCTGCCACAGAGCTGGGATCTACTGAGTTGGTCACCACTAAGACAGCTGGCCCTGAGCAGCAGTAGCAATGGAGGGGACAGGAGAGGACCTGTGACCCGGGCCTTCAAAAGGATTCAGAGCCTCTCCTCAGGGCCAAGCAGTCCTTTGGCTGGGGACTGGGCTGCACACAGGCAGCACAGGCCACAGTGTGCAGTCGGCCAGGGCGGCTTGCAATTGACTTCCAGCTTAAGACTGCGTAGGCTCACAGGTTGTGTCTGAGCTCCTGGGCTTTCCAGGGGCCCGGTGTGCTCTGAGTTAGACGCGGTTGAGTGCACACCTGAAGGCTTCACGTGCCACGGTTTGTCCCCCTTGTGTGGTATTAAAGTGATCTGACTGCAGTGTTCAGAGGTGGCGTCTGTGCAGGGTGAGTGGGCAATGACCATGACTGCACATGGGCAGCTCTACAAGGACAGACCATGCCACCTTGAGACTTGGCCAGAAGGTCATCCCTAGAGGTGGATCCTGGGACCTCTTCAACTGTAAGCTAAATAAAGTGCAGCCAGGGCTATAATCCCAACTTCTTGGGAGGCTGAGGCAGGAGGATCACAAGTTCTAGACCTACCTATGTAGCTTAGTGAGACTGTGTCTCAAAATAAAAAATAAGGGACTGGGGAGGTAGTTCAGTAGAATAAGCGCTTGCATGGCAAGCGCAAGGGCCTGAGTTCAATCCCCAGTTCCACCAAAAAATAAATACTAAAAATAAAAATAAATAAGGATGCGATACAGCTGAGTAATAAAGCCCCACTAGCTTTGATCCCTAGCACTGCAAAACAAGAGACAGAGAAACAGAGGTTTTTATTTATAAAGTTACCCACCATCAGAGAATTTGTCATAGTAAACCCAGTAGACTATAGGTAACAATGAGTGAGAGGTTTTTCATTTGCAGTACGCACTGGCGCCATTAAGCTACAATGAACCTGAAAACAGACTACGTGGGAGGATGCTTAATCTGTGCTCAGGTGTTGTATTTCTTTAATCCTTGCTCTTAGAGCTGTTCTGCTTTTAAATTTATGCAAGTCGCAGCAATGAGTAACCAGCTGATGGTTTCACTTTAGGATTTAGTGCAAGATTATTTTTAGGGTTTTTTTTTTTTTTTTTTTTTTTAACTTGTTTTATTTTTGTGGTCCTAGGGATCAAACCCAGGG